TAGTCCAGCCCGGTAAGCCCACTGTCCATATCTATTTTTTAAAGCCCAAATACCCAAATATTGAAAACCCCATCCCAAAGCCAATTCCCAATCGTCACTTTACACGCTCGTAGTCTGGGAGTAAACTGACGGCCGACCTCGCTACCTGCTGGACCGACGACGGCCGACGGCCGAGGCTTCTAAGATTTCCCATCTCTTTGTGTCGAAAGGCTTCAATTGGACTGCGAAGGTATCTATTAATCACAACTATTCTTGCATGCCCTCTCTAATCTTCTTCTCCAACTATGGAAGTGGGCACATTGGCCTTCGACAATCGGCAGTGATTTAGTCGGCAGCATAGCAGCAGCATTCCAATCCTAATTTCCAGCCATTTTAGATAATAGTAATACCCTAACAAATTAAAATCGGTCTTTTCAGTCTTCCCGATTCGGTCCATGTGAATTCGGTCCGGTCCGGTCCAAAACCGAGTACATTTAGGTCCGGTCTTCGGTCTACGTTTTGGCATATTTCGGTCTTCGGTCCGGTCCGGTCCGGTTTTAGACCAATGGACACCCCTATAAATGGTTTCATTTTAATATGTAGTTTTCATATATAAAAAATTTATAACATCTGTTTATTTAAAATTATAATCTCTCCACCCCTAAAACCCCATATAGTTTGATTTTTTTAGTGAAATTTTACAAGTTTGAACTACAAATTATAAAAAAAAATATTTAGTAATGATATAAATTAAATCTAATGGAGTTCATTTTTAGATATACTTTTAATATATAAAATATGGATAAATATTATTTAAAATTATATATATTTATAATCAAAATGTAATCTTAATCCTTTATATATTAAAGAGGAGAGTTGAGCTTCTAGAATTACGACACTTGGCATGCTGACTAGACAACTTTTTTAACACCTCCTCATCCATGTCAGCAAGAGCAATGAATGGAAGTTTCCTTATTAAAGCTCTTAATATACATAATTACTTTATTATTTTGGAAATAAAATTATATATTAAATGAGGAAAAATTTGGCAAAAATGAATATATTTGTATGATTTTTTGTAACTCATTAAATTATTCATACATATTTTTTATAAATTATAAAATAATGGGAAATTCCATGTGGAGTTTCATATAAATATTTTCACTAACATGGAAAATATTTAAAGGATTAAGGAAAAGGACATATGCAGTTACAAATATTTTAATTAATATTGAAAATATCCGACAAGATAAATTTATTTTTATGTAAATTTGTAAAACTACCCACCACTTTCCTTTTTTACTTTTTTTAAAATAAGGATTTATATAATTCCATGCTTAATAAATTTGTAAAACTACCCACCACTTTCTCTTTGGACGGGATTTTGCGGGAGTCAGCCCAGTCATCTTCGAAGAGATGGGTGGCCGAAGGGGACTTTACCTTCTTATCCCGGATAAGCTCATCGAGAGGGGTACACCAGGCAGTGGTAGCCCCTTCCTTTTCAGGCATGTGGGGGGGGGGGGGGGGGGGGG